CTGGCTCCTCATTGGTGGCATTCCTTGGAGGTTGGCTGCTTGATTGGTCCACTGCTTTCTCCAAATTATTGTACCGTAATTTTCCTACCCCAGGAGCTCCCTGTTAACCACCTCTTCTCCCTGTCAAAGAGAGCTGAGAGATTTAAGGGGATAGGAAGCTGATAGTTTGTCTGCCTGACCCTGCCATGGAGATGGGTAAAAGGGAGAGGATATTTTCTTCAGGGTTGGGTGGGAGGAAGGAGAGGAGGTAAATATATGGAAATGCAGGTGAAATTCTTTTAGGGAGTGGATCTCTTCAAGGGGAACAATATGGGTTGGGATCTGTATAGTAAGTTAACTGGTTGGCCTTGTGTAAAGTTGCTGTTGTGATGCAGCAGTATGTAGTGTCAAAGAAATTGTACTTAAGGGCTCAAATCCCACTTCTGCCTTGTATTGGGTGTGTGGCCTTGAACAAATTGATTGTCTCCAACTGGTCCAGCACTGTTTACAGCAGTGGCCTCCCAAATGCCTCTGCAAAATTTATAAGCAGGGCATGAAGGTAATGGCATTGTCTGTTCATTTCTTACGCTTTGCATCCTGTTTCCCTTACCTGAATATGTGTTCCAGAAAGCTTTCTCCACCCTCAGTATCTTGATCATATAATCAATCTCATGTGTGACTTGACCTGTGGCTTGTGGTTTGGCTCAGTTTCTTGAGGAATTTGTTCTGCACATGGGGTTCCCAGATTTTCTCTGGATTGTTGATCTGTGTGGGCCTGATATCATTGTATTGCTTGGTGACTGGCAGGAGACTTGTATTATTATTATTATTTAGCATTACCTGACCAGAAGGTAAAATTAAAATTCTTTGGTTTTCCAAAAGCATTTTATGTGTTTTCTAATCAAACATAGATTTGCCAAGCTAAATGTTGTCCAATCACAAAAATAATAGCAGATTTGAATTCCTCACACCCCAAAACTCATTTCCACCGCTCTTCACTGAAGAAATTTGCAGAAATTAAGTTTCACCACTAAAATGACATGCCCAACTGGTGAAATGTGTAAAAGGCAAAGGGTCTGTTTTCTTTGCATGTAATGCATAAAAAGACCCACTGTTCTCTTCAACTCCTTAAACATGTGAACTCTCATTAGATATTTTGCAAATTCATATGCTGCACTTATCTTCTGTGGTTTAAATTTTGTTTTTTTGTTATTTATTAAATTTATATACTCCCAGAGTCCTTAACATGACCACAGCTTGTAACACAATACATAATACAGACACCATCAAGGCTATACAGTATTGGGTTGTGAAAACATTAACATTAAAATTCTACAACCCTGTAACCATTCCATTTTTCCCTTTAAAAACAAATAAACATCTGAGGAACAATCTGGGAGAGCTGCTTACACGTCTCCCATTCACTTCAGTGGAGTTTGTGCAGGAGAACTTTACTGGAGTGTTGTGCCCCAGTTTTGTTTTTGATGTACAACTAGACTTTTAGTTGCATCTGTTTTGGTGTTTACCATCTTGCAAGCATTCCATTAGCAGAAGCATATTTTGAAGCACCAACTAGCACTTGTTGTGTGGCTTTTGTATTGTGCATCCCTGAGGTTTTTCTGTGTACATATGTTCCCTTGCCCTCTTTAAACCTAGCCCTCAAAGTAATCCCATAATTTCTGGCATCCCTCCTGATCTGTCTGATTCCAGAAATAATTTTGATCTTCATATCCAAATGGACCACTGGCCAAGATCTTAATACTGAACCACAGGAAGCAAATCTATTCATCCACTCTGCATATACTGCCGGGTTTCTATTAGGCTTTAGTGGTACAGCAAAAATTGGTTGGTAGTTTACTGAAACAGGTTGTCTTATTACTTCAAAGTAAAACTGGAAATGTGGTAAAACTTCCCCCTTCCATCCATTCTTTAATCAGGTGTAGGGCAGATGATAGGTTCTACTTTACAGAGCACAGCCTTCTATATGAAGGTATCTTTTGTTTGAACGTCTGTCTGGCCCATGTCCATTTTAAAGAGAAAGGAACCTAAGAAGGGAGCACAGCAAAGGCCTTGAAGGAGGGAGAAAAGGAGGTTGGAAGTTGCCCATCAACAACACTGGGTGGTAGAATCAGCTGGCACACAAGCCAATCTCGTCACAGTCTTTCCCAAATGAGATGTACTGCATTTTTGCATAAATTATGGAAATTGTTTCTAAATTTGTATCTCTACATATAAATTAGCATAGGCCAATTTTATTTTTCTCCTCTTTTTTGATCATGCATAAGTGCGCTCTTGCGGTGGTTAGGTAAACCGGGCTCTTTTCCCTAGAATGCCAGCACACAATAAGGGTTTGAATGTTGTTCCAGGTAGCCTCTACTGAGTTCACTTCTTCCCTTCCCTTATTCTTCTGGGTCGGTAAGATCTTAGACCAAAGAGGAACAGATATTATCGCCTCTGAGCCACTGTGTGGAAAATCACCTTCCATCACACAAGCAGAAATTCCAGGCATTTTGTGACTTTCTCTGCCCTATCTTAACCGCTAGCTATATATCCCTCCTGTATCCAGAAAAGAATGGCTTCCTGGGCTGCTTCCTTATCTGAACTGTTAAGCTGAATTCCATGAAGCATTTTCTGCTGTTCTCTCCGATTAGCCAGCCTTTGCCAAGGAGGTGCGAAACTGAGGCCTGGACATCAAATCCTCTTGCTCAAGGTTAAGTACGGGCTATGCAATTGCCCTTCAGCAGCTTGCTCTCTTTCTATTAGCTGTGGTGGACACTGCAGAATGTTAAGTGAGTTTCTCTGTGTGAGTGGAACTCTCTGAAGATAAGTAATGTGGGAGATTGTGTACGTGTGCCTGCATGCAGAGGGACTGTGGATAGTTTCAGTACTTTTTTTCAAGGAGAAATTCCCCTTAAAACTCAAGCAAAACCTTCCTTACACAGTGCAAACAATGAGGTTGCCATTTTGGGTGCTCTAATGCATCTCCCACCCACGGCCAAATCCAACATGCTGGTTTGGGATGTTGTGTCAATTTTTCTGTAATGTCTGTCACTGATGCCCATATAGGCAGCCCAGGAGAGTGAAGACTGATGCATGTCATAAAAGCAGGTTAATGGGGGTCATGACAACACGTTTGCAAATATCTAACGGTGTGGTTTGAATGAGGGAGAACAACTGTCTGACAGTCACTGAGGGGCAGAGGCGAGGTTATTGGTATACAGCACACAGAAGGCTTAGAGTATGGGGTGGGTGGGTCATCATTGCTCTGCCATGATTTCTCCCACAGATTTGTGAGCATTCTTTGTAAGAGATTCCTAACCCCGCTCAACTATATTTCCCTGGGGAAGGAAGGAATGACCATGTTTGGCACAGATATGCCCATTGAGTATTAAGGGCCAACATGTAGTGACAGACCCTGTTTATAAGTAGGTAATTTTCTAAATTATTTTGATTTATCTTTGTGTCTACAAAGTTGTGGCCCAAAGGCAAACCTTTCTCTCGTAGCAAACGTGCACTTTCCAGTTTCTATGGTGGCAAAAACAAATTATTCCTAAACAGGGAAGTATCAAGCAGCTTTCAACCATGAGAAAGAAAAGCAGTGCTAGATTTCATTAGATTAAGTCATAATTCAATTGATAGGGGCACATTTAAATAATGTGGCAAATTTAAAACAATTCAATCCTTTCTAATCTCATAAAGTCAGACAGCTGAAAAGAGGGATCTCAAAGGGAGGATGCTCGAGGAATGTGGCAGGCTGAAATCTGAAGTGGACTTTGTCTCCGGGACTGATGTGTGGATTAGAACATAGCCCTCTGCAGAATCCAGGCTTCCACCAATTCTATGAGGTGGTCTTCCTTCCTTCCTTCCTTCCTTCCTTCCTTCCTTCCTTCCTTCCTTCCTTTTCTTTTAAAATCCCCTTTGTTTAACAGGCAATATCTGCTGCATGCTATATGTGGCTGCAAGCCCCTCACAGGGCTACAGTATGGGAAGAAAATGGCTGCCCCCATTTAGGCAGCCATCTTTTTTTCTGTACCATTTCCCTGTGAGGAATGTCACCTCACCACATGCCATCACTCCCCCAGGGGCATTTGGGACAATCATGCACTCTAGCCACTCCAATAGATTTTGTTTGTTTGTTTGTCAGAGACCATTTTGAAAACTACAAGTAATTTATTTGAAAACACATTTGAAATAATTCACCAGAGGGTGCCGAATTTTGGCGTTGCACAGGGCACCACTGAATTTGAAAACCCAAAGTCTGCCACTGCAAGGACACATTCCAGCCAAGCTCATAATAATAATAATTTATAATTTATACCCTGCCCATCTCAAGGAGGGTGTGTTATAGAGGTAGTGAGGGGTGAGGCCTGAGGAGAAGGAAATTACCTTGGAAAAGTCCTGAGAACTGTATAGAGAGATCTGAAGGGTCGCATTCAGCTTCTGGGCCAGAGGTTCCCCTCTCAGCTCCATATGCAGACTAAAACCTCATGGAGCTTGGAGTGAAGACTATATCAGGCCATTTTGAAGTAAGTCTTGAAACACCTCACCACTGGTGCCTACTTCTGAGTGTCATGCTTTATCATGGATTTGCACACTATCTAAATCAGGCATAGGCAAAATCTGCCCTCCAAATGTTTTGGGACTACAACTGCCATCATCCCTGACCACTGGTCCTATTAGCTAGGGATGATGGGAGTTGTATTCCCAAAACATCTGGAGGGCCGAGTTTGCCTATGCCTGATCTAAATGGTTTCTAGACAGGTGTGAAGATTAAGACCTCTCCTTTGATTCACTGATCATCTAGACATTAACCTTAAATGTGTTTATCTTAAGAGTTTACATTAACTGGTAAATTGACAGATGCTATCATTTATATACATTATGCAAATTGTTTTGCATAATCTTGCCTTGTACACAATTACATAGTATTTGCTGATGAATAAATTGGGTATTTACAAATAATACAAAAAGCAATCAGAGACTGCAGGCTATGGGCACGATCCAGCCCCACTTTTAGGGCCAGTTGATTTCAGTGAGAAAATTTAAATTTATCTTTCAATGCCTCACATTTAAATCAGTGTGTCTATAAAGTGCTTAAGTATGACTGGATCATACTTTGGGAGCAACACCTGCCAGGTAATCTGCACAAACTCTATGACATCGGTGGGAGTTATGTGACTCCATTGCCACTCATTTAAATGGGGCTTGCGCAAGAAAACCTCTTGGTGAATGGTGCCTGTTATATACTTTATATTGGATTTCAGAAGGAATGTAAGAAGTCTGGAGGATTGTGAAGGTCCACACAGTAGCTCTCTAGGAATCCAGTATAGGATCAGTGGTTTGCTGCCTGCTTCAGGAGTTACTTTGCTTCCACGAATACTTGTGTATACTTGAGCTATTGTGAAGCCACCAAATGACCCTGCTCCTCTTTCATCTAAAGAAAATGAATCCTTTAAGCTCTGTCCCTGGACTGATGACTGCTCAGGGACATTCCTGGCTCAGGGTGCCTTACTTATGCCTGGTCCAAACCAATAAGTCTTTATCAGAGGGCCCAAGGATACTTCACTCGGACTGACTGCTAGTAATTCTCCTTTCTTTCCACCATCCCAGTCACTTATACAGGGCCTTTTCCCAAGCTTAGGCAGATAGGCTTCCTGGTCTGAAGTGCCTTCATAATTCATGGGCTTCTGGATCACTCCTTCTCTTGGATCGTGACCCTGGAGTACAACAGCTGTAAGGGCCTGAGCTTTCATAGGCTGCACATGCTATAATACAGTTGGCAAGGGATTTCTCCTCATCCATGGCTACAGCTTGCAGTCAGTCATCCTCCAAGCCACCTTGCATGTTCTCTTGCATTTTTTACATATTCTCAGCCTCAGCTACTCTACCTTTGTACCATGATCTCCAGTTCTTTTTCAGTTCATAGGACTCTCCCCTAGCTTTTCATTTGGATCACTGCTGGAAACACCCAAGACAGACAAGAGTCTGTTGTTTCTCAGCTACTAACCCTTCAACACATTCAGAATTGATTGGGAACTCCTTAGCCATCCACATGGCAGCTCTTCTGTTGGGTCTCTGGGCCTGTCTTGACTTCCTTGTAGCTGACGATCCAGTAAAGCTCTTACCTGTTGATATGCCACCTCCGGACTCTTGTTTGGAGTTGCTGTAATTTCTGCTGCTCTCTTTTTTTGACTCACGCCAACTCACAGTTTCCCTCCAGGGTGGGTGGGTAATTTCCTTCTTTGTGACCAATCTTAAGTGCTCTCCTCTTCCTCAAGCAGCGGGAAGCAAAGGGATAGCATCCCTCTATTTCGTTTTCTTTGGAGAAAGAGCATGGTATTCTTAAGGTATCTTTGGTAAACTGCTTATTTAACATACAAACAGCAAGCAGGCTGTTATAAAATAGGTAGCACAGCCACTAAGCCCTAGATTAGATTCCCAGAGCACAAAACTGTGGACCTACACAACCCTCTGAGTTGCCTTGAATTCTACTAATTTGCAGCTGAAACTCTCTAGTTCATGCTGTCTTTACCCCCACAGTCAAACTGCCAACACACTCATGTGGAGCTTTGTCTCCCTACCTGCAATCTTTCCTTTCGTTGTTCTTTTTTGGTTATCCTCAACAATACAGTCAATGAATAAAAATGGCATAAGAAAAAAGACAGCTTAGCAATGGCTGATAGTAATTTGTAGTGCAGTCTCATACGGTTAAAGTAAATACAATCAGAATAAGCCTAAAAGGGGGGAGGGACTTTGGTCAGGGAGGAAGGGAAAAAAGGCAGGGGCAGGGATATGCTCCGGCAGAGTCTGCTGGGCATGTACTTCATGCAGACAATCCCACAGAGAGAACACCTGTGCAGAGGCGTAGTGTGGGGGAAGGGCAGGGGGGAACATGGCCCCGGGTGCACATCTTTGAAGGGATGCAATCAGGTGCCCGCACGACAGGCATGGAGTCTTGGCAGCTGAGGCATGGCAGCAGGTGGCTTGGTCTAGTGGGCAGGTGGAGGAAGCAGTGGGTGAGGGGCCTGTTGGAGGCGGGCTCCGTTCACCCTCGGCGTGGGCTTTGCGTCCCTCTCGCATGTGCCCCCACCCCTGCTGACGCCCTGATGGTCAGCAACCCATGTTACACCACTGCCCCAGTGTTCTAGTGCTAATTTCCGTTGTGCTGTCTGCTGAAGGTGACTTCTCCTATGGTGTAAGGGTACATGAGTCTTCTGACCACTGAGCAATGGGAGGGGGAGTTTACAGGGGACATACATTCCTTCCAGTGCTGTAGCACCATCCTTTTGCCCATCAAGAAGGCACACAACGTGCTATTATGTTGTCTGTCCATCGAAGTCCCTCAGCGTTGGAATATAACCAGTACAATGTGAGCATCCAAGAGTTTTAAGTTCCATCCTGCTGGTGAATTGCCTAGCCACGAGCTGATCAGCCCTGACTTACCTTCACGCAATCAGCTAAACATGGGTCACTGAGGGTCAAAGCAGTAGGGATGGGTCAATAGGAAATGGCCACAAGCCAGTGAGGCCTGTGCAAGCCTCTTTATTTCAGTAGGTTTGTGAATGCATAACGCTGAGCTGGATTAGGACCAGAGTGTGTGCAATTTGCACACATGATGTTGGTGAAGCATGATTGAGAGTCTAGCTAGTCCTTGAGTGTGAGAATCTCCCTTACTTTATACTGTGTTTTCTTTGCCGGTTGGGTTGGAACAAGAAGTGCCAGTACCTAAATAAGCCTGCAAACAAAACCTCTGCTTATAGACATTTCTTATCCCTGTAAGCTCCAGAAATCCTGCAAAGAAAGCAGAATTCTTGGGAGATTTCTCAACTTGATATCAAGAGGTTTGGATAAGCTCTGCTTCTGTAGCTAAGCTTCCAGGGGGGCTCTTCTGTATGGGATCTTCAGATTTGATTTCCCCCCAGCCACTGGCTTGTATTGTCTTCCCCATGGGATAAGGTGTTCTCTCTGAATACTACTACAACACTGACTGCATATTTTCTCCTCGCCATCGCAAAAGAAGCAAACTGTGTTATTTACAAAGGTGTGCTTGTGACAGTAAGACTTAATTCAATTTCATAATCATATGCTTCATTCTCTCAACATGGTCACCGGCCTCTAGTCCTAAAGATACGGGCCTTGAGGAATATCCAGCTGTATCAGGGTAGGACTTTACTGGCTTTAAAAGTTGCTTTTATGTGATTAATTGGCTTGGCCTTTTGATGCAAATGGTGGAGGATGGCTGAACAATTCCAAAAAGAGCAAGGACTGGTTACCATTCCTATAATTTCTGTTAGTGCAGTTGAGGGACTTCGTTACAATATGTAGGAAAGCATGCAGTTAGCTTTCTTTGGGAGCTGAATAGGCCTCAGCGATGAAGATATAATGGAAAGATGTGTTGTTTATTAGAAGAAAAGTTTTCCCCCACTTGTAACTGACCTGCCATGTATACATCTATTTAGATTCAAAAGAAAAGTCTCAGCAGCACACTATGTTCAAAATAAATTTCCTTCTCTCAACCTCATTTGGATGACCTCATCTGCAAACATCCAACAAGGAACCTGCAATTCTTGGTTTATGTCCTTTATCTGGTATAGTTCTTCCTCAGTATCAGCTTGGTTGATCAGTTTCAGTGGGAGATCTCAAAGGCAAGTGGCTGAAATCCAGTCAGTATTCTGCAAGTGAATTTAACAACTTGTTTGAGTAAGAAAAATCATTTTGTTGTCTGGATCCATCAGTACTTTGATGGTGGCAGGGGGCATTCTGGTTTCAAAGCCAACATATTGACTTTGGGGGTTAATATTTCAGACACTTGAGGACTTTTTTTTATAAGTATCAATATTTGGATTTGTTTCTCTTGTTTTTCAATACTGTGGAATGGTACAGGTTAAGTAATGCCATAACTGCACCCCAAATCCAGATGGTGTTGAAATGACTACATATATATATATTCACAACATTTTATTTTTCTGAGTTGTTTAGATATTTTTAAATATCTGAAAGTTTTGTCTATCTGTTGGGTATAAATAACTTAACAATATTTCACATGACATTTGTATTGAAAAGCTCCAGTTGACCTGTGGATTGCATTCCAAAGCATTAATAGCATAGAATGTATTTAAAAGAACTCACTGGATGATTTACAAAATGGAGTTTACACTGCAGTATGTATGAGTAAATAGTGATGGAACTGTCCAATGGAAAATGCACAGAATGGGTGTTTCCACGCTGTGTTTTTAGTTTCTTAGGCCAGGAGCATCCCTTTTACAGCCATCCATTCGCACAATTTTAGTGGTTAATGTGAAAGTTACAACTTAACTTTTTATCATTTCCAAACGCATGGAAAGTATAGTGTGTGTGTGTGTGTGTGTGTGTGTGCGCGCGCAGTAGAATTTATTTATTTCTTTGTTTTAAATTGGTTTGCCTTTGGTTCCGTTTACATGGCATGTGCAGCGGAATGAGGTGAAATGCTTGCAACTCCAGCTGTGCAGTTTCCTCTTCCATTTCATCATGCAAACCATCTAATGCGATGAAGAGAATGTTCCAAATAGAAGAGATTGGTGGAGAACAGAGAGGCACCCTTCCAGGCCGAGATTCCCAAATGTTGGGTATGAACCTGCCTTTGACCCAAATGAGGTGGCTGCTCTTGGGTGTTGTGAGGAAATCAGCACAACTGAATGTAGAGCAGTGACGATGTTCCACGGATATCTCCTATTAGTAATACATTTGGGAATCCCTGGCACAGGAGACTGGGTGCCTTTCGTGGAGATTAACACATAGCATTTCTTCCTTCATCTCCTGCTGTTTGCTGAGCTTTTGAAATTAAGTTAAGGCTGCCAGCCATCAACCTTGAGGTGATGCCTTTCCTTTTAAAATGACAAGGCACCATGAACAGATGCTGCAGCTAAGCTTCTGCCCCTTTCCTCCACCCATCATTCCAGCCTCCCTCCTCTCCTGGTTGCAGTAGAGCCAAATTTAAGACTTACATTTTAAGTCATGCTTGGTGCAGGTGGTGGTGGAGGGGAAGGGTGGGGGCAAAGGGACTCACAGAAGAATGGTGTTGGTGCCACAATGGCTGCCTATTTTTTTCACTTCCTTGGAGCTTTCAAAGTGGTAGGTGTGGTCTCCGGGTTGATGGGCGACACTCCTAAATTTAATGCCTGAGCCAAATGAGATGGGGTGGACGGGGCCTGGGGTGGTTTTGATTTAAACTTTTCTCTCTTGGTTGGGTTCTCTGGACTCCTAGTTAGTTCAGGGCATGACATTCTTTGTGGGCAGGAGCTGAGGTAGGGAGGGTTGAGAGTCAGGGAAAGGGTTTACTAGCTTAGTGTCCAATCACAGCTTTGTTACCAAATGGCCATGTTGGCCCAGATTATTTTCAAAATGGCCACTGGTGCTATTTCAGCATATATCAAGGGAACACTGCTATGGATCCCAGTTGGGGGTGGGGCAGGAGGACAAAGCATTTTGAATGCAAGCTTGACGACACAAAGGCATCCAGTGTGGGGTTCAGGCAGAGACTTGGAAATGCAATTTCCTCACACAACTAAAATGGGGAAAGGAGACATCGTTATTACTTTCCCAGCGTAGCGCCTTCCCAAGGGAAAGCGCCGTCGAACTCAGGCTTGCCTCGTCTCTCTGAGGCCCAAATCCCACTACCCCCACCAATCACTACTCTTCTTTCTCCCAATCCTCCTGTCCCCAACACCTCCCCCTCTCCAATTCTTTTTTCTGTAAATAGCTATTTCTGATTTCGGACAAGCAGGGATCGATAGATTCTGGAGGGGGGAGGACAATTGTTTTACTTTTTCCCTTTCTCTTAATGATTTTTGGTGTTTGAACTTGAAAAAATAGTATTTATTAGTGTGTGTGTATGTGTGTGTGTGTCTATATATATAAATATATATACACACACATACACAGGCGACATCAACATACACACACATACACACATACAAATGGATCCTGGTCAAAAAGAAAGTCGTTGATTTCCCCCCATTGATTTATCTTGTTTCTCACTGGGAGTTGTTTTGGGAGCAGATGGTTTTTTGGGGGGTGGGTGGGTGAAATGTATAGATTTTCAGTACAGCATTGCTCAAACAATGCAGGGAAAAAACTTTAAAAGAAAGGGGGGAAGGAACAACAACAACAAAAATAAAACAAAATGAGAAAACTTTGTGATGTACAGAATCTGTAAATAGTCAAAGATTCTTTCTCTTTTCTAACAGCAAATTATTTCTGTCACTTTATATTCAAAAATAAAGAAACCTACCACAAAATATCAGGGTAAAAAAAACAAAAAACCACAAAGCCCAAGAATCAGAGTCTTTTCTTGCATGTGGTGAAGAGTGCCAAAGTGTGTTGTTTGGTGGAAATTAATGTTGTGATGTGTGTAGATGGAAAGAGGCTCTTTAAATATATTTCACATTGTCTCCCTCTTCAGCCTTTCGCAGATTGATGAGGGAAAAGATCAGCAAGTTCAGACTCCATTCACCAAGGCAGAATTCCCCACAATCCCCTCCCTTGCCCTGAAGATCTCTATAATCCAGTGCCCAGCTTCTGCGGGACCTGCTTCAGGCAGCAATCGGATGGCCAGAAGTGTGTATTGCAACACAAACAGAATGCACTGTCTCTCAGCAGGGGTGCCTCTGTTAAAGACACTGCACATGCCCTCAGGCGTAGCTGGAGCATTGCTTCCAAAATCCAAAGAGCAACTCAACGTGAACATCTAAATACATAAATATCAATTAAATAGAAACCTGAATAATTAAGCACATGGCATCTACACCTTGAAAGCCCCACCCTTTCTTAGGAGTGATGCTGTCAGCCAACTTTTCACTATACCCTGATTAAAATTGGGTAGGGCTTCCTCCTGAGGCCAGAATCTAGCCTACAGTTCTCCAACTGCCTATTCTCTGATCTAGATCACAGTAGAGGGGCTGTTAGCCTATTGCATTTAGCAAGTGTACTATTTGTGTGCACAAATAGTTGAGCTGTAAACCTGCACTGTTATTCACAGGTAACGTTCACTGAGTGTGCAGTTTGTTAACCTGTGTAAACAAATAGCTGAGCTGTGCAGATCAACAGGTGTACACTCTGTCACACAAACACTTGCCCAGATTGCACCTCTGTTTGGTGTAATGTGTGAACTAGTCTTATGCCACGATGAACAAAAACCAGGAAGAAATGCTTCCTGATTATTAAAGGAAGAACAGACAAACAAGCACCCTCTATTCTTAACAAATTAAAAGAGAAGAGGAAAGAAAATGACACATTCCTTCCCCCAGAAGATTTTTTTTAAATACAAAAAAATTATAACACAGATCTTATAGAACCATGTCTGTAAAACTAAGCATTGGAAAGATGTGTTCTCTATTTCAACTTTTTGCTGAAATAGCCACATTTCTATCACTCACATAAAATACCTGTTGGCTATGTTAGTCTGCCACAGGTTCAAGGGGGAGGAAGAATCCCAATCACACCAAAAGCTTTCACATTTGAAAAGGCCACACATGCCCGTTCTCATTTTGTGGCACCCTCTTTTTCAGTGTTTGAAATGGGGAATGAAAGGGTTTGGGTGTGTGTGTGTTTAAGAATGAGTTGAATGAGTTTAAAGATATGTGTGTCTGGAGAATGAGGATTATGTGTGTGGGCTGGTTGCTCCGGGTAAGTGAATGTTGGATGTGAGAATGAGTAGAAAAAAACTACTGTCTGCAGTTATTATTTAAATTGGTGTGGATGTATATTCTATAAACAAGTGTAAGTACTATTTTTTTTTAAATCAGGTCAATGAGGCAGGTGGTTAACCATCGATACCCTCACCTGCCAACTTAGTTGCCATTTTAAAGTAGAGATTGGCTTTTGCAAGTGTGGGCACATCTTTTGTTTGCCTTCACTATGAATGATGCCTTCAAAGCGTCACGGAATTGTCCATGTTTTCCTAAACAAGCTGAACCAACCATTCCTCTGGGGTTGCTGTGTGTTTCCCAAATACTTAGGAAATGGAGGTCGGAAGCTGATCACCATTTCCCCACGAAGCAATGAACCATGTCTGAAGAGGATTTTGTCAGCGCCCCCCCCCCAATTCCCTGGATTTGGATGTATGGTACAGTTTTCATCATTACTTGGCAGGATTATGCAGCTGAGACACTTACTATGTGGTCACATGTATGCTGTGAGGAAGGGTCCCAGCAGGCCCACACAAGTTTAATGCATGGGGGGCAAACATTGCAACCATGCCTTCTGCCACCAGTTATTCCAAAGAAAACAAATCACTGTTGGTGTGGTTGACTGGCATAAGAAAGGGCACTATGTGTGCTTTCATGGCCATGCATAATGCTCTACCACTGAGATGGTACCTGGCTCAATCACCACTTGCATGGATCTTGATATGGGTACACCTGTACATGCATATAAAAATGAATACAAGAGTGAAAATAGCATACAAAATGCATTATATTGGGGAAAATTGCCAAAATGTGTACAGTCAAAACTGCATATGAAAATGTGTTTATTAGGATTAATTCACACTAAAATGCTGGTGAATTTTCAAGAGGATATTATTCACAAGTTGCTGGAGAAATGTGGAGAACTGAATTTAAGACTGGTGAAGGGAGAAACGGAGAGAATCAAAATGGACAGTTCCTCCCATTCTGATCTGTATAGCAGGATTCTCAATTGCTATTGATTACTCAGAGCAACAGCTGCAGTAAATTCCTCTAAGGGTGCATTCACACATCACTTCTTTGTCCTGGATATTCTTAAACTGGTTCTGTGTGTCAATCCCTAGGTTCCTCCTTGCTTAGAAGAAGGTCCAATAAATCACAAGGTCCAAAGTCTCCACCCTTTGGATGGGGAGAATACTAGAAATTGAATCACAGTTATAACATTTGCCCAGCAGTTGCCCTCCATGAATGTCATCATATGTTGCCCTGTGATGTCTCTCCTGGGAGTTCTTCTGGGCTTGTGGCTGCTTCTTGGTTTTTCTTGTTTGCTTCTTAGTTCTGCTTATACTCTGTGAGGTGACATGATTAGAAATCTTCATACTTACTTCCTGCAGGCAGCCAGGTGCAGCCCATATTGCAAGCACGGGATGAACTGAAAACCCCTTCCCCAAGACATCCACAGATGTTACACCCAGAGAGGTAGGAGCAAGCATTGCATAGGGGCAAATATTCCGATGTGCTCTGTCCAGGGCTATGGATCCCCAAAAGAGCAAAATTATAAAAAAGCAGGATTCATTATATATTATACTTATTACATAAGTATATTTATTATTACTGTGCATGTTTCCTACTTTCCCATAATTTATGCAGCTCCCACCAATCATTGGAAGGCTGCAAAGTGTAGCATGTGCCTTGCCTGATCCCCTCTTGAAACCTTGTTCAGACTTCCCTGCTATGCTTCTGAGATTTCAGTAGGCACTTCCCACACCTTTTCCAGCCTTAAGGGCTAGAAAGTTTTGTTTTGTTTTTTAAAGAAAGGAAGAGAAAGGAAGCCAAGGTTCTTATACAATGGTAACTTCTGCACCCATTATCAAACACTGTGTGTTACTGCAGAAATGTGGAACATCTGTCATATACATTGTCATGGGATTTTGTTTCCCTCCATTGCTATTTTTCTAGAAAAAGAGGTGCCAGAACTCAGCATGAACCCCTCCCTTGTTCTCTTAGAATGGCAATGGTGCCCACCTGAGAGGTGCTGGAACTGAGTTCTGGTGAGTTCTGGCTGAAAAAAAGTCCTGTGTCCCGCAAACAAAGGCAAAAAGAACCAAAACTAAAACCAAATGAGCTATCTAGAGATATATCCACAAGAAGGAACATTAATCCCAAAGCACAAAAGGGAAGGGAGAGGGAAAGAACCACACCACCCTTAAAGACACTGTGAGGAGTGTTTGTTGCTGTTTTGCATCCATTCACTGTGTGCATCACACCACTCACACTGATTCTGGGGTTCCCCTGGTCTGCTACATATCAGCGCAGACAATGAGGAGGTACTGTGTACAGTGCAATAATTGAACTAGTGCATCAGAGCCCTGGTTTGGGAGCATGGGAGGCAGGTGGCACGTTCTTAGTGCCTGGCTGGAGAGGAGGTGCAGAGATTGGGCCTAAACACAGATACCCAGCTTCATCCAGGGCATCTTGATAAAAGAAAGCCCCTCCCACCCCACCCCACAATCATCCATAGTAAATAGTACAGCCTCACAAGGAATTGCATTTCAGGGAACAGCAGCGAGCAGTATTTCATCTGCAAACATACTATGCCACTTTCCGAGAAGGAGAAGGAAAAGAAAATGGGATGTGTTTGCAGAACAACGAAGAATGATTCTCTACACTGACATAAGTGGATAAGCCACTGTTGATTACCTGACTGTTGGTGACAGAGCTCAATTGCAAACATCTGTGCAGGACTCAACAGGAAGCTGAAGAAGGAAGTGCAGGTAAGTTTCACTCTCTGGTTCCCTATCTTATGTGAAATCACTGCTAGATGTAATGTATTACAACTATGATAGTGGGGCTTGGTGGGGGGAGGGGACAGTAAATGCTCAGCTAAGATGCTGTCATAAAGCCTGTTATATTCTGGCACTAGCAGAATTTGGTGGCAGATTTGCTGTTTTCCTCAGGACAGAACCAGACTAGAATAATCAGGGAACTTACCAGAACCCAGTACCATCCGGCTTCAATTTCTGGCACCTCCTGGGAGGGCCTGAAAGACTCCTGCTTGAAAACCTAGAGAGCCCTTGCCAATCATTATAGACTGCACTAGATGAGCCAATTCTCTGATGCAGAGACAGTCTAAGGCCTCTTCCTAAGCAATGGCCTCCTATTGCTGTGCCAAAGCCTGCAGAAATGCATTCAGAATGGCTATAATACAGTTGGGTGCAGGGAGCTTTCCATTGCACATTTATTTTGGTTGTGGATGCAAGGAGCATCTTTTATGCATTTAAAGTTCCCCCCTCTTGCCCTCTACATCTCTGAATCAGTAACAGATTGCCAGACCGAAACCGCGTCCATGGTGAACGGGGGAACACACACAAATACATCACCCCTTTATTTATTTTAAAGAAAGGAGTTAAGGAAGAATACTGATAACTGAACTGTAGAGTTGGAAGGGACCCCAGGGGTCAGCTAGCCCAACCTCCTGCAATGCAGGAATCTCAGTTAAAGAATCACTGACAGATGGCCATCCAACCTCTGCTTAAAAACCTCTAGTGAAGGAGAGTTTGAGACAGTTTGTTTCACTGCCAAACATCTC